AGGAAGAAGGGAGGTGAATGAGGAGATGAGAAGGGAGAGGTAGAAAGGGGAAGGGAGGAAGGAAGTGGAAGGGGAGGGATGGTGGAAAGGAGAGGTGAATGAGGGAGAGGTGGAAAGGGAAGTGAGAAAGGGAGTGGAAGGGAGTGGAAGAGGGAGGTGGTGGAAGGGGGGGAAAGTGGATGGCAAGGGAGGTGGAGAGGGGAAGTGGATGGGGGGAGATGAAGAGGGAGAGGTGGAAGGGGGAGAAGTGGAAGGGGGGGGGAGGGGAGGGGGTAATGGTAGGTGGAAAGGGGGGGTAGGAAAGGAGTGGAAGGGGTATAAGGGAGAGGGGGATGGGGGAGGTGGAAGGGGGATGAAGAGGGAGGTGGAAAGGGGAGGTGGTGGAAAGGGGGTTGGGTGGAAGGGGAGGTGAAAGGGGAGGTGGAAGGGGGTGGTAAGGGGAGGTGGAAAGGGAGATGGAAAGGGAGTGATAGAAATAGAAACAATGATAATAATAATGATGATAATGATAATATAACGATAATGATATTCATCATAAAAGTGAAAATAATGATGATGATAATACTATTACTACTAGAATAATAACAACAACAACAGAGATAATAATAACCAAAACAATACCATAAACAAAAAATAGATACTCCTGACAAAAAACAACAACAACAACAAACAACAAAAAATAGACGACAAAACAACAACAACAAACAACAAAAACAACACCAAACAACAACAAAAAAATAGATACTCCTGACAAAAAAAAAACAAAAAAAAACAACAAACAACGAAAACAAACACCCAAACCACCAACCCAACTCACCAAAATCCTCCTCGTAGATGATAGCAATCTTCTTCCACTTGAGAAACTGAATCATGTCCTTGTAGGCCTGGTTCAGGGACAGGTGGGACGGGAACAGGTTGATGCTGAACTCCTTCTCCTGGGGCTCCATGTCCAGCCGGGCCTCGAGGTGCGGGATGTCCAGGGCGTCCGTGATGGACTGGATGTGGGAGCCGAGGAGGGGGTCGAACGGGCCGAAGATGGCCTGCACGCCGAAGGTTATTTGCTTGCAGGCTGCGGGAGGGAGAGAGAGAGATGGGGATGGTTAATAGGGAGTGTGGAATTGGGGATAATTAGGAGAGAGAGAGAGAGAGAGAGAGAGAGAGAGAGAGAATGTCTGCACGCCGAAGGTTATCTGTTTGCAGGCTACGAGAGAGAGAGAGGGGGGAGAGAGACAGAGAGACAGAGACAGAGAGAGAGAGAGAGAGAGAGAGAGAGAGAGAGAAGAGAGAGAGAGAGAGAGAGAGAGAGAGAGAGAGAGAGAGAGAGAGAGAGAGAGAGAGAGAGAGAGAGATGATATTTAAATAAAAGGAGTTGGTCGAAGTGCTGGGAAGAGAGAGAGAAATAAAAATTGATGATAATTAAAGGGGCTGAATGAAAGATGATGAAAGTGAATAATTGATGGTGATGAATAAATGATAATTATAATAATAGAAGTAGGTCTTTTGGACTTGTTTTTATAATAAGAAGAGAAATTGAGAAAGAAGTGAGAGATGGGAATAAGGGAGAGAAGAGAATGAGAGAGAGAAAGAAATGAGGAAGAGAGAATGAAATGAGGGAGAGAAGGGAATGAAAGAGAGAAGCAAATGAGAGGGAGAAGGAATGAGGAAGAAGAGAACGAAAAGAAGAGAGAGGAGAAGAAAGAATGAGGGAGAGAGAGGAATGAGGAGAGAAGGGATAAAGGAGATAAGACAATGAGGAAAAGAAATGACAAAGAGTAAAGAAGAAAGAGAAAGAGAGGAGAATTGCATAAGAAAAAGAAGAGAGAAGGACGAACAGAAGAAAGGAGAGAGAGAGAAGGATGAACACAAGAAAGAGAGGAGAAAGGAAGAATGAAGAAGGAGGGAAGGAGAAATAGAGAAAGAGAAAAAGTAGGTAGAAGAATTAGTAGGAGAAAGGGGGTGTCGGAAAGAAGGGAGAGAAAGAAAGACAGGAAGGAGAGGGAGAGGGAGGAAGAAAAGAATGTGGAAAGATAAAATAAGATTTTTTTATATACATTTAATTCCAATTTATTTTTTCACTTATCTATCTCTAACTTTCTATATTTAGTCGTGGGTTTGATAGTAAGATAAGGATCCAATAAGGGAGACAGAAAAGATATTTTGTATCAAAGAAACATATTTTCCTTGTCCCTCTTTAACACTGTTCTTGTATGTTGCTCTCTCTCTCTCTCTCTCTCTCTCTCTCTCTCTCTCTCTCTCTCCTCTCTCCTCTCTCTCTCTCTCTCTCTCTCTCTCTCTCTCTCTCTCTCTCTCTCTCTCTCTCTCTCTTTACCATTGCATCATTCAATTACATTTCAGACCAATGCATTAGTGTCTTTTTAAGTAAAGCACAAAACAGAGTGAGGCATGGGGACAATATCTGTCACTAATTGTATTTTCCTCTTCCACTATTTGACTTCACTTTACATGTAACCATTTTCCGCATGTAGCCAAGTCCTCATAT